CACACACACACACACACACACACACACACACACACACACACACACACTTTCTCAGCACCAGCCGCCATCAGAGCGTCCAGCTCCTGAGTCCAGCCGAGGGCATCGACCAGGGCTCGCACGCCAGCGACCACGTCGCCCAGCTGCACGACGTCATGAGGCCGGCGGCGCCAGGCGAACGGACCCACCAGGTCCCTGTTGATGAGCAGACGGGGAACGGAGCTGCGCACAGATCCCGCCAGACTGGCGAAAGGCTCCACCTGCAGAGCGAAGAGTCAAAGAGCAGCTGTTCAAAGCATGTTGAACTGGCTTTTTAAACACTTTTAAATATGTTTTGGGAGGTATTTTGCTAATTAATATAGTTTTATAGTGGAGATGCAGACAGGAAACAGACGTAAGATGTGCAACAAAAGGTCCAGAGTCAGAACATAAGAGCTGCTTTTAAAGTTGCAGAAATGGCAACGAAGACTTTTACGTCTTTTGCAAAACAAGCAAAACCTGGTGGCTGCTGGAATTCATTGATTTACAAAAAATCCTAAATTTCAGGGGCTTCCTGGTGTCATCTCTCTCTCTCTCCCCATGTGTCCCGTTAGCATCTTCACTGTAAGCTATTTAATTAAGACTAAATCTTTAAAGAGTGCACGTTCCAGTCTTACAGCCACCCCTCCTCATGTTCTGTCTCACTCTAATGTGCTGGTTCAGCTGTAAAACCATCAGACTACTGGGACAGGAAGTGCTTTGAAGCCGGTGGCGCTCACCTCCAGCGAGGTTCCCATGATGATCAGCAGGTCGGCCTGAGGGAAGTCTGTGAGGTACTTGAAGAAGTGAAGTGGAAGCTCCTCCCCGAAGAACACGATGTCGGGCTTCACCACACCTTTACAGGTGGGACACTGTGGGACCGTCCCGCTCATCACGTCTGACTGGTGAGACATGGAAACAAGATGGAACATTCATATTAATAATATTCAAAAAATATATTGCCATCTCGATTTAGTTTTTTGATAATTGATGAAGAATGACTTGAATATTGAAGAAGCTTATCTGATGTGTTATGTTATCTATGTTAAGATAAGGTGACGTCATAAAGTCTTATTGTGCAGAGAATCCAAATCTTGTGAGACTGTGAAAAATCAGTAAGTGCACAAGTGTCTAATAATAAATAAAATGGTGCAATTTATTTATTTATTTATATGGTTATTTTATATATATATATATATATATATATATATATATATATATATAATATATGTAATTTTATGACTCACTTATTTTTCCTCTTACCTGCAATGTATCAATCTAGATTGTTTGGTGCGTGTTGCTGAAAGTTGAAGATATCCCCCGTAAAGATAACCGCCCTCTCTTCAATATATATACATCGATAGATATATCGATGAATGGATAGATAGACAGACAGACCACGAAGCGTCATATATATTTATAGGTCATATAGTCCATTTATATTGCAGAGAAGACAGACCTCTCTAAGACGAATATCTTCAACACTCAGCAACTCACACCAAAATAATCTAGATTGGTAAATAGCACTACAGGTAAGAGGATTTTGGGATAAACTATCCCTTTAATGTTCACCGTGGCTAAAAACAGACAACATGATAAAGCATATTTTAAATATTCAGCTGAAGATTGGCTGAATGTGAAGATTTCGTGTTTTGGGTCATAACTCACGCGTAGCTCCTCCCCCTCGTATTCCCTCAGACAGACTGTGCAGGTCGCCGTGGCAAATGTACCGTGAGCCTCCACCAACATCTCAGGAGGTATCCCGGCCACTTGATACGCAAGTAAACAAAGCAAGGTGGCTTAAAATGTCTGTGCATGTATCTCACTGATGTGTAGTCATTTGGAGAAGAATACATAAAGGAACATACATCTTTCCAGCCCGTCGATGTTCTGCGTGTACATCCTGAGAAGCTGACTCTTCTTGTGAAGCAGCCGCACAAAATAGTGGGTCAGATTGGGCCGGTAATTCCCCGGATAGAGCTCTTTGGCCAGGGCGAAGAAGGGATTCGGGTTTTGGTGGAAAAAGCTGAGCTCGAATATCGCCTCGGCGTAGGGCAGGTCATACTGCTGCAGGTTGTCATAGAGGCCGCTGCCTGGAGACCTGCGAGGTAATAACCTGCTGAATACACCTGATACTGACAGGAGGTTTACATGAACACTCAAATGAACATCCAACAGTTTCACCTGAAGTCTGGGATGCCACTAGGCGTGCTGATCCCGGCTCCAGCCATCACCACCACCCTCCTGTACTGCCGCTCTCTGATGCTCTTGGCGATGTCCTCCAGGGCCTGCTGATCGTCGGCTGAACCGCCACCGCGGGAGGAAAACCCTCGAGTCCCATTCCACCGGGTAGAGTTTGTTTGTCTGCGAAGATGCAAAACAGGAACGAAGGAGTTTGTTAAAATAAATACGTTTGTCTGAATGAACCAGAGAGTCGAGTTTTATGGTTGTGATGAGCGTTCTATCGTCTGCTGCACGCCAATTGGGCAGTTTGCAGCAACCCAGATGGACGTATACACATGTAACTCTGAAGTAACGTCACATAAACATCCAGCATCTCATTGTTGCTGTCTGTCAAGTATTGTGCTCTGCTTACTCATTTAATTTTCTTTTTGAATAATTAGAGCTGCAGAAATTACTGCTCTACTCGTTTTAACTATTAGTTGATTGATAGAAAAGTAATTGGCTACTATTATAATATTTCCATTATAATCTGGTTGCAGCTTCTCAATTGTGAATACTATGTGGTTTCTTTAGTCTCATACAATAGTAAAACAAATATCTTTGAGGTCACTTGGGGCTTTTGGTGACGACCATTTTTGAGCAATTTTAAGCCAACTTTAACAATTGAATACTTCAGTTTCCTAAATGTGACAATGCTTTTCCTTGTCATCTTGATCGATTATTCAAGAAAATAATAACTTTTCATGAGCTGTAAAACAAAACAGCCCTGTTTTCAGCTTTGTGACGATGCATTGTTCATAAAGAGTTTATTTAGCTGAAGAAGTGGGAGAATTCCCCGGTACATAAAGGAACATGTCTGACATGTTGAGTAGAAGGATGAAGTTGCATAAAATAAAAGTACCTCAAATACTTAATGTACTTTAGTAAATGTACTTAGTTACATCCCCCTCTGCTGTCTGGTAAGGAGTATCGTGTCCCTGTGTGACATACCTGCACAGAGCTGCACCTACACCTGCACACGAACTCCTTTGACTCAAACGACCTATAAAAAAGCAACACTCACAATTATCACTCATCAAACCACTAATCCTTATTTCATTATAGCTTCATTGTCTGTCTACTAACCGTTGGCAGAGAGCGTCCTGCTTGTTCGCGAGCTCAGGTACAAACAAAGTCTGACAGATGACAGTAATGAGGAACTCACTAAAGAAGCCATAACAGAGCAGTAACTGGACTAAAGTTACCGGTAGATTGTTATTGCATCACTCCTACTCACGGATACGAGATATTAAAGCATTCTATTCAGCTAAAATCAGATTAAATATGTAACTAACAATGACTAGCCGCCTGCTGACATATTTGTTGTTGTCCTTTGACCTCTTAATGATGCGGACGGGTGTACCGTAATGTACAATATAGCCTAGCTAACTTTAGCTCGGTCGATAGCTACCGAGCTTGAATTCCTATTTTGTTCAATTATCAACCGTTTGTTAATCAAAAACAACCTACAGTACAATATATATTCAGTGTATAGCGTCTAAAAAACGACTTTACAAAGAAACAAATCAAACATAAAGTGTATAACGTTAGCGGTCAAGAAGTAAAGTTTACGGTAAAAACACGGCTAGCTTTAGAAACGCCTCCTTTATTTCCCACCATCCTTTGCGCCCATCAGTAGACCCACAACACGGCAGGCTACTTGACGTTAGCTGAAGACTCATAACCACTCAAAAGAGCCCGAATATTAAATTAAATCCACAATTCCATCGCCACCATGAGAGATGTTTCCGGGTTCCTCAAACAGCAGCAGAGTAACAGCACCACTCCGGAGATGGCGACGGAGTGGCATACGTTGGAGGAGTTGCACAACAAAAGGTAAAGAAAAAAGAAGTCAGCTAGCTAATGCTAGGCTAGCTAACGTTAGCTTGCTCATTCATTGCAAATGCACGCTGAGTCATGCAGTGACCTAGCGTTAGCTGATGTATGGCTAATGTTAGCCGCAAGTTCCTTCTTACAGATCTGAGCTGAAACTTGACTTTAATTTCTAACCATTTGAATCACTAACGTAAATAATATGTATATATAGGGCTGAAACTTTGAACCCAACATCATCGATTTAGAGTAGTGGAAGACAAAGTTTATCACAAGTTTTTCTTTAGCTGTTAGCTAGCTGTGGATGCTATGTGAGTATAAAACCCATATGACTGTTGTACTATTATATATTAGCTATATCGCAAGACTATTAATACTCGTGCAGTAATGTAAAAGCAGGTTTCTATTGATGCATTACTAATATTATCAATATTAAAAGGAAAAGCAGTAAATCTTCACATTTGTGAAGCTGGAACCATTAAATGTTTATTAAACTATTATTAAAATAGTTGCCATTTTCTGTCAATTGATTTAATGGACTAATAGTTTCAGCTGTACATGTATAAACTGTTGGGAAGTTTAATTCACAACATAATTTATCAATATTTTATAAACTCATGTGTTTTGTGTGCTAATAACTTCTTGCTGACAGATAAACTTAGTGGAATATAAAATATAATATTTCCCTCTAAGACCTGAATCACTCACCTGTTTTGTGGTATCAAGATACAACAAAAGAATCGAAATCAGTTTCACATTTTTCGTTAGTTGATTTCCTGTCAATAAAGTACAATGTTTCTTTGGGACATTTGTTTATCTTCTGGATAAAGTGTTGACATTCACCACCACTGTTTGTTTGTGTGTTTTATTGACAGATTGTGGCATCAGTTGACTCTCAGGCTGACAGACTTTGTTAAAGATCCTTGCTTCAAAACCGGAGATGGCCTCATACAGGTAACCACATTAACATAATGGTAATATAATAATAATAATAATAATAATAATAATAATAATAATAATAATAACAACACCTGTTCTGCTCCACTGTGAGGAAGATTCAATGCACAAAACCTGGAATGAGTATGCACACATTTCATATCCTGTATTCATATATTTAATGTTGTCTTTTAAGGGGAATTCATTAAGTCCAAGTTTCTTTTTAGGACAGAAATTATACTTTTAATGCTTTGAAATACACAATTCTTTGCATTTACGATGTTGCCATTAAATGTCAGTGTTACGTCAGAATTATAAAATAATTAAGATGATGGTTGAAGCAAAGAACTGTGTTCCGCTGTTTCACATTACAAAATCTTAGGTGACTCATTTAGTTTGTTCTGCAATGACAACGTTCTCGGATTCTTTCATTTGGACGACAGAAATTTGTTGATATGAATTGTTATGATTGTTTAATTGCAATTATTTATGTTCATAAACTTGCCATTAGCCAATGATTAGTTCAGTAAAGGCACAACGTGAAGCTTTGTTACTGATTCTAAAGGATTTAAACAAACGTTAATAACTTTATACACTTTCCTCGTTCACTCTGAGGAACTTTAACCCTAAATGATGTCATAATCTAAATACTATTCATGGCCACTTTAACGCGTTGAGCATTTAGATGTTTTCTGTGATCTGACGGCTCCGTTTCTTCCTCAAAGCTCTACGACAACTTCATCAGTGACTTTGAACACAGGTGAGATAAACACTCGGTCACACCTGTCGGCTCGGTACTCGTTTGATGTTTGATGCTGATTTATTATTTTTGTTCCTCCGTTAGAATCAACCCATTGTCCCTCATGGAGATTATACTGTACGTTACCAGACAGATGAAAGGTGAGAACAACAACATGCAGCACAAAATATTTCTCAGCAGAATACACCGTTTGTCCACATTTTGTAGTATTTACAAAAATGTTTTCATTTCTCCAGATCCCAAAGATGCCATCACTTTTCTCGAGAAGACCAAGGAAAAGGTAAGTTGACCGATACATCACAGATTTTTAAATATACACTCGGTTGTTTATTAGCACCTAACTAATGCTAATGCAGTCAAATACAAAAGCCCCACAATAAATATAACCTTTTTAATGAATATCACAATGTTCAGTTTAAGTTTAAACTGCTTTAGAGGCGTTTTATTTTACTTTAAGGTCTTTTTGAAGGCTGGTGTTTCTTGTGTTGTTGAATTGTGTTACACTGAGAGCTGTCTTTAATATTTTGTCTTTCCCACATAAACTAAATATCCGAAACATCTCCTCTGCCTGAAGCAAAACAATTCAACAGCACCACAAACTGAACATCCTCCAATAACTAAACATCCTGACCTTCATGAAGGAGGATTTATTGCAGTTTAATAACGGTATCTTTGATCCAACGTGTCTGTTTGTGGTTCAGGTGAAAAGCAGCGATGAAGCCGTCATCCTCTGCAAGACTTCTATCGGCAAACTCAAACTGGAGATCAGCGATCTTCCTGCCACGAAGGTAAAAGCTCCGCTCTCGCCTCTTTTCTTTTCTTTATCAAGCTGCTGACGCAAAACGAGCCTCGCACCTCGTTCAGGTTTGGCACATTTCAAACGTCGAGCTGCAGGTGATGTTCACACTCGATGTGTCTCACTCTCTAACTTAAAGGTTTCAGCTACGTTCTAATTCAGCAGCTAGAAGGAACAAAGTAGATTTAATATCCACTGTTTTATCGCCCAAAGTTCCTTTTATCTCAAATCTTTTGAAAATGTCAGCTGTGGTCATAGAAGATGTGTGTTTTTATTTACTCCTGCGCTGTATGTGGAGTAAACATGCAAACAGTAAAAACATGGGATGGCAGCAAAGCCGTTGACTTGATCTCAAAGGTCTCTCGGCGATAAACAAACAAGAATCTGTTGAGAAATTATATTTAAAAAGTAGAATTTTAAACTTAACACAGTTACATATTTTCTTCAGTGTCGTTGTTGGTACATCTGTGCAAACAGGAACCTCCAGATTAGATTATATTCAATTTAATTATAACAAAGTGCAGTTTAGCATCTAACCCAGATTGTCCATATAGTAGATATACATATTAAGCATAATTAATGTACAGATTTGCCAGAAAGCTAACCGTAGTGGGCGGAAAGAAAGCTGACTTTAATTTTGTTTTATATTATCTATAAATAGTTTGACAGAACTAAAGCTCAGTGTCTCCCTGGAACACTGACAGTCTCCTATACATTAATACAAAGATACTTTTTGTGTGTTTAAAATACATAGGACTTTTTTTAATTTTTAATAAAACTAGAAATGCCTTTTTAAGTGGATCAGGTGTCAACCAGATGTGACCGATCCACCTTAAATACAGCTTCTTTGTCATAAAATGATTTGTTTCTGCTCATTCTGGGCTCCAGAGTCTGTTTTATAGAACCACCGTTTGGAGATCTGCATTGATCTGTAACAATAAAAACTGTCCTATAACATGTAAAACACTGCTGACCTGCCAGATGTTGGTATTTCTAGTTAGCCTATCTTAACCTGGAATAAAAGCAGAGCTAAAACATGTTAGACTCATAAATACAGGGAGTGAAAACTGTCTTTTAACAGTAGAATAAATATTCCCTCTTTTGTTTCACTCTCAGATACTCATTGAAGAAGTCGAGGAACTGTTGAATAACTTGCCCGGCGTGACGTCGGTCCACGGCCGCTTTTATGACCTCTCCAGCAAATATTACCGCATCATCGGGAACCACGCCTCCTACTACAAGGACGCTCTGCGCTACCTCGGGTGTGTGGACATCAAAGACCTTCCAGGTGGGAGGAGACGGACGCTCGGACTCGACTTCAGCACATCTTTCATGTTTCATATTCATGAGTTAATGTTGTTTGACTCCACAGAGACGGAGAAGCAGGAGAGGGCGTTCACGCTGGGGCTGGCTGGACTCTTAGGAGAAGGAGTCTACAACTTCGGGGAGCTGGTAGGATTCAAAAATAATGTTCATCTTTAGTGGTGCAACGGATCAGAAATCTAACGTATAACTAAATAAATCTAACTTGTATATTCAACGTACGGTCGGACTAGTCGTCGTGTTGTTCATCGGTGCCGGTCAGCCGGTGAAGCTTGTTGACGTCTGCTGTCGTGTCTTTGCAGCTGATGCATCCTGTGCTGGAGTCCCTGAGGAACACGGACAAACAGTGGCTCATCGACACACTTTACGCCTTCAACGGAGGCAACGTGGAGAAATTCCAGAGCTTCAAGTCGGCCTGGGGCCAACAGGTGATCAACGTTTAGATAACGGCTCAACGTGAGATGTGTGACATCGACGTTAAAGGTTAAACTGATGAGTCATAGACGGTGGAAACAGCTTCTATTCATCACAAAGCTTCAGACACTCATTCCGAAACAAATGCTTAAAAAAACGTTTCATTTTTAAAGTTTAGTTTTCTACTGAACTTTCTTGTTAAAAACAGAAGTATAGCAACGCTGTTTCATTATGTATTTATTTTATAAATATACAAATGTCAGTTAGATGGTAATGTGCAAGAGAAGTAAAGAAAAACCCAAATAAAATAGTTTTAATGATGATTTGCGTGATCGTGGACCGTTTTTTACCCCCCCCGGCCTATTCGATGGCCACGTCTGGCCCATGTATTTGAAACACAAGAACATGGCAATTTAGCTTCCAGAACAAAATAACTCTAGATAATTAGGTTTCTGGGGATT